CAGCTCCAGGTAGAGGACTTTTATTTTCCAAACACGGCTATTTAATAATAACAGGCTATACAGATGCGGATTGGGCTGGTTCCTTTGATGATACGAGATCAACCTCAGGTTATTTTTGTTTTTGTTGGAGGAAACCTGGTCACATGGAGCAGCAAGAAGCAAGCTGTTGTTGCAAGGTCCAGCGCAGAAGTTGAATATAGAGCTATAGCACAGGAAATCTGTGAACTTCTATGGTTGCGCAGATTAATGGAAGAGTTAAAGTTAGTTAAAACAATAAATATATCCTTATTTTGTGATAGTAAAACAGCAATCAGTATTATGAACAATCCAGTCCAGCATGATCGAACTAAGCATATAGAGATTGATCGTCACTTTATAAAAGAGAAGATAGTTTAAGGTTTTACAAGTTTCTCCTATATAGCTTCAAAAGAGCAACTAGCTGATGTTTTCACAAGATGTTCACAAAGGTTTTAACATAGCAAGGTTGGTTTCAATCCTTTAGTTTGCAAGTTGGGCATGAGTAATATCTATGCATGGGCATGAGTAATATCTATGCACCAACTTAAGGGGGAGTGTCGAAATCTTTGTGATTAAAGTAAATATTGTGTTTCTTAGTTTAGGTTTATTCCTAATTAGTGGAAAGATTGTGTTTCCTAATTTAGGTTTATTTCTATTTAGATTACTTCCTATATTGGAACAATTTTTTTTGTATATATATAGTGGAGTAGAGATTGAAAAATATAACACAATTGAAGAAATAAAACATATTTTTTCCTTTAATTTCTACAAATGATCCACCTAAAGGAGATGCTAGGCAAATTTGGCTTATAGAGGATGCTTAGTTATTTTTACAGCTTCAGAATTCAATTGACAGTGAGGTAATTGGTTTAATTAATCATTGTGAGTTTGTTAAGGAGCTGATGGATTATCTTGAATTTTTGTACTCGGGAAAACATAATCTGTCTCGTATGTATGAAGTCTGTAAAGGATTTTATCAAGCCAAACAACAAGATAAGCCCCTTACAACTTATTTCAAGGAATTTAAGAAGATATATGAGGAACTTAATGTTTTATTGCCTTTTAGCCCCCATGTTAACGCTCAACAGGCTCAGCGAGAACAAATAGTTGTGACGAGTTTTCTTGAAGGTCTTGATCCGGTTTTCGAAACTGCCAAATCACGGGTTCTTTCGACATTACCTCTCTTCAAGAGACTTTCACTAGATTATTGCGTACTGAAGGATCTCATACCCCTTCCCCTTTTGAAAAATAGTACTCTTGTGAGTCTTAATCAGGTAGCTAAACAGCCAGGAAACAGAGGAAGAGGGGGAAATAACCATAGTCATGGAACAATTAATCAGGAGGCGAGCATTATTATTTGTCATTATTGCCATGAACCTGGTCAGACTAAACGGTATTGCAAGAAACTAATAAATAAGCTGCCAAGGGCAAATATGGTCACTCAAGATTCTGCAGTTGCTTCTTCTGACAACACTAACAATTTCTGATGTGGAGTATGCTGTGCTCTCTAGATACCGTTCTTCTAAGTCTGTTGATTCCTCAATTGTTGCTGCTACCAATTCCGGTACTCCTAATACATGTCTTATGTCTACCTCATCAGAATAGGTCATTGATTCTGGTTGCACAGTTCACATGACAAGTAACCCTAGTCTCTTATCCTCATTAAAAGAACTTGAACAATTTAATTGTCATGTTACTCTAGCTGATGGGTCCACATCTTCTGTCAAGTATATTGGCATTGCTAATCCCATCCCATCTCTTCCCTTGTCTTCTTTTTCTGTTTGCCTCGTATTTCGTTTAATCTAGTCTGTTAGCAAAATCACTCGTATACTGAACTGTTGTGTTAAATTTTATCCTACTTATTGTGTGTTTCAGAATCTTTTGACGAAGCGGATTATTGGTAGAGGACGTGAGTCTAGTGGCCTTCATCTTCTGGACGAACAAATTTCGTTAACTCTGGCTTGTGCTGGTACTCTATCTCCTCTTGAGGTTCATTATCGTTGGCCTTCATCTTCTGGACGAACAAATTTCGTTAACTCTGGCTTGTGCTGGTACTCTATCTCCTCTTGAGGTTCATTATCGTTCGGGCCATCCTTCATTGTCTACTTTAAAGAAGTTGTGTCCGCAGTTTCAGCCTTTATCAGTTTTAGAATGTGAATCTTGTCAATTTGCCAAACATCATCGATTAGCTTTAATTCCTTAGAGTCAATAAACGAGTTTCATCCCCTTTTAAGTTGGTTCATTCTGATGTTTGCGGTCCATGTCCTGTTATTTCTAAAACTAGATTTAGGCATTGTTACTTTTGTGGGTGATTATTCTCGTGTTACTTGGTTATTTTTATTGAAAACTCGTTCTAAGATATTCTCTATTTTTTGTTCCTTTTGTGCTGAGATTAAAACTCAATTTAATACCTTTGTTCGCATACTGCAAAGTGATAATGCTAAAGAGTATCTATCTAGATCCTTCCAATCATATATGTCACAAAACGGTGTCACAAAACGGTATTCTCCATCAAACATCTTGTGGTGATACTCCTCAAACTGTAGAAAGAAAAAATCGACATCTTCTTGAGGTTGCTAGGGCACTTCTATTCCAAATGAAGGTCCCTAAACACTTTTGGGCTGATGCTGTTTCTACTGCATGTTTTTTTATCAATCGCATGCCTTCTTCTATGTTCAATGGTGAAATTCCTTATAGAGTCTTGTTTCCTTCTAAGCTTCTGTTCCCCATTGAAACTCATATTTTTGGTTGTACTTGTTTTGTTCGTGATGTTATCCAAATTAGATCCAAATTCCCTTCATTGCATTTTCCTTAGGTATTCTCGGCATCAAAAGAGGTACCGTTGTTCCTCTCCCGATCTTTACCGTTATCTTGTTTCTGTAGATGTCACATTCTTTGAGAATACTCCTTTTTTTCTTCTTCTATATATAAGAGTGAGGGGGAGGATGATGAGCTTTTAGTATACACTATACAGCAACTTCCTAGCTCTCCTATTCCTGCTCATATTCCTAATCTTGCACATGCTCCTGCTACAGCGTCTGCTACTCCTATTCCTGCTCCTGCACCAGCATCTGCTCGCCCTCGTTTTGAACAAGTTTATTCCAGAAGACCAAAGACTTTTGACTCACTTCCCCCACCTATCGCTTCAATAGAAGATTTGGTTCCCTCTACTCAGCTTGAGCCTGTGCCATCCACTCCTCAATCAGACCTTGACCTTCCCATTGCTCTTCGAAAAGGTAAACGCGAGTTTACCTATCTTATTTCTTCTTTTGTCAATTACGATCATCTTTCTTCTACACCTCGTTGTTTTGTAAGTAACCTAGACTCTGTTTCTACCCCTAAAACTGTTGTTCAAGCCTTGTCCCATCCTGGTTGGTGCGCAACAATGATAAAGGAGATGGCTGCCTTAGATACTACTGGTACTTGGGATCTTGTGCCTCTCTCGGCAGATAAGAAAGCTATTGGTTGTAAGTGGTTTTCACTGTTGAAGTGAATCATCATAGGTCTGTTGCTCGTCTCAAGGCTCGTTTAGTTGCTAAGGGCTATTCACAAATTTATGGCCTTGATTACTCAAACATTTTTTCTCCTGTAGCCAAATTGTTTTCTGTTCGTTTGTTTATTTCTTTAGCAGCTACTTTTGATTGGCCTTTACATTAGCTAGATGTTAAGAATGCCTTTATTCATGGCGTTCTTCAGGAGGAAGTTTACATGGAGCAACCTTAAGAATGCCTTTATTCAATGGCCGTTCTTCTCAGGAGGAAGTTTAACATGGAGCACCCGCCAGCTTTTTAGCAGCTACTTTTGATTGGCCTTTACATTAGCTAGATGTTAAGAATGCCTTTATTCATGGCGTTCTTCAGGAGGAAGTTTACATGGAGCAACCGCCAGGCTTTTTTGCTCAGGGAGAGTAAGGTAAAGTGTGTAAACTTTGTAAATCTCTTTATGACCTAAAACAGAGTCCTCAAGCTTGGTTTGGTAGATTTTGCGATATGGTACACCAATTTGGCATGCAAAAGAGTACTTCTGATCATTCTGTATTTTTTTAAAAGTACTAAGACTGGTTTCATTCTACTTGTGGTTTATGTTGATGACATTATTATTATGACGAAGGGCTTTTTTTTCTAACAATGGTCATCTGAAAATAGAAAGCATATATAGATGTTAATTGGCTTGATCTCCTTATGATGGGCATTGTACCTCAGGATATTGCACATTTGTTGGTGGAAATCTAGTTTTTAGGAGAAATAAAAAAGAAAGTATGGTTGAAAAGCCAAGTGCAGAAGTTGAACAGAGTCCTGGCACAGGATACATTTCCAAGTGAAACCATAATTCCTATATTATGATGAAATGGCTGTCATTAGTGTTGCTTGTAATGCAGTTCAACATGACCTACTTAGCATATTGAGATTGATCAGATTTTTTTCCAAAGAAAATTTATATGATCATATTTTGAGTGCTGATTGTGTAAATTCAGAAAAATCAATTAGCAGATGTGTTTACTAAGGATTTGCGTTAAGTGTTTCATTCTTTGGCGTGCAAGATAGGTATGAGAGACATATATGCACCACCTTCAGGGGAAGTGTTCACAGTTGTATATGAACTTAGTTTTAGGAGTTAACAATGTTATTTAGGTCTGAATTTGTTAGGGTATTTTTGTAGTTCTAAATATTATTAATATAGATTTACAGGTGTAGAGTACAATGAGAATCTAGAACCCTTTCTATGTAGTTTATAGCTCTCTAAATCATCGCTAACCTTACACATCAGTAAAAGAGTCATCGACCATGCAAATATTTTGCAGAATATAAGGACATAACGCCCGATTAAGAACTATGCTTTAACATAAATGTTTAATGAATAAAATCGCTATGTTTAAGGAGAAAGAGGATAAGAATGGATGATGCAGAAACAAAGTTGAAAAAGCAGCAAGACCTTAAACCTAAATATAAAGCAGATATTTTCATTCAGAATGTATTGCATACCGCATCAGAAATGTCGCAATGCAGTTTTGTCACTGAATCACCTCTGCCAAGTTCTTCTACAGATCCATAAGCAATGTACGTTTTGGGTCCCAAATCTGGCTTCAAGACAGCAGGAAGCCCTGTTGCCAGATTTAAAACACCAGATTTTGGATGGGTATACTCACTAAAGGGAAGCATAGCAATAAATTCAGCACCGTGTCTTGGCAAACATTCTTCAAATGAGTTTGATGGGGGCCAATCCTTCAGCTTCAGCATCTCTGGCCACCCATTTCTATACCTACGACCCTCTAAGTAGCCTCTGAAGAACTTGAAAATATTAATTTCAACCTGCAGCACCAAGAGAAAGCACATAGCTTAGTCCATGAGTTAGAAGCAGAAGAAGTGAGTTCTCAGTCGAAGACATGGCCAACCGCATGGAAACTTATAGTAGCATTACCCGATTTGTGGAAGTGCATGAGCTCCCACGAGAATTGATTAAGATGCTATAAAATAAAGAAATAACCAAATATACCAAATTTCACTTCGTTGCCATGCAAACGTAATTTCATTGACATGCAAATTACTAAGAATCTGTATTTGTACACAAGGGCCACTTACAAAGGGAAGATTTTACTCCAAGGTGAATAGTATTTGGTTTAAACATTATTACCAAACTGAACCAAGTTAATTTAGTTTCAGTTATTGTTTAAGATGCATAACTCAGTTCATCTTGAGTTCAGAATTTTTCCTTAAAAGTCAGCATAACCAAAGTACAATGTTTATTTCATTTTAGATTAATCATAGTACATTTGCATATAGTTTATTGTTTTTGGCTTGTTCCTTGGAGCAGTGGCTCCCTCCTGCTTACAAAAACCTAAAGACTAAGCTGATGGATCAGTTATTAGGAGGTCCTGGATGGGTCAACTCAAGATATCATAATGGTGTTATCAAATGCATTTCTTCAAGCGCCACATTTCTTTTCTTAATAAAATAAAATGAAGTAAAACCTAGAAGTGGTTGCACCAAGGAAAGTGCTCTGGTCCACAAAATCTGACTAGATAAATAAAGAATGGTGAGGGGAAAACTTGAAAAGTTGGTGATGGCTTCAATTTATTCATGTCATAAAATAAATCTGAATGCATTTATTATGTCCACAATAGTGGAGAAAAATATGAAATAGATGATAGACAAACTACAAGATACTAAAAGAAACATGAATTTTGTGGCTAGGCTTGATTAAAGAAGAGGAGATATCTGTATTATCTGTGAGTGAACGAGCATATGTTCACATAAGTAAATAAAAATCAATTTGCTTTTAGAGGGAAAAAGAAAAGAACCATCATGCATAAACTGAACAGAATACTCCATCTGAAAAAAGAAATGCATATAGAGTTGTCAATTTAATTGAAGAACTTTATCTTGGCAACTTTAGCCTATCAGATGCAGGAGTAAAAATGCAGAAGTAAAAGTCTAATTTTTTTACTATTCATGAAACTGTAGCAGTTTTATAATATTGGGTCACTAAGTATTTCTGTTATTTGGTAAAAAGTTGGAAAATGCTGGGATCTATGTTCAAAGTCCTATTCTCATTAGTATCTATGATTAAAAAATAGTTCAATTCCTTATTCTATTTAGATATTGTCCTATAGAAAAGGGCTGTATTATTCTATTCTAGGGCTGCTTTTGGGAATTTCAAATAATAAAAGTGGTTATTCATTACTGTATAAACTGACAATTTGTCTGTTTCAGCGTCACCTTTATTTTTTATCAATCATCTAAATTGATAATTTTTTTGCAATTAAGGCTCCATTTGTCTTTTAAAAATAAACTATCTTTGGAAAATATTATCCAAATAATTCATTTTTCCCAGCAACATTGAAAACTAGTTAAAAAATATTAATAATTTTTTATTTTAAACATTTATTTTTAAATATGAAAAAAAAATAAGAAAAATTCATAAAAGATGATAAAATTGTGATTCACAGGTGGTGGTGATGGTGGCTAGTGATTGATGTTGCTGGCTTGTGGTGACCGGTGACTGATGGTGGTGGTTACCGAATTAATAAATATGTATTTATGAAGTTATAATAGATTTGTCTACATCAAAAAAATGTTTTTCGCTTTTAAAAATGAAAAGTCATTTTCCTTAAAAAATGACTTAATTTCCCCTTTAGCTAGTAAAATATTTCCATTGACGGGTAACATCAGAAAATCGAGAAGATATTTTCCAAACAAGTTGTTTTCCGGAAAAAAATGAAGCCTAAGTGTATTCGGCTGGAATGTCTTGGCAGAGTATCAAAATGAACTATTTAAACTCGTTTTTCCACTTCATTTATTCCTCTAGATAATCATTTTTGTTTCTTTATTGCATTCTCTCTCATTTTTGTTAATTTTGTTTTAGAATATGAAAAGCAATTATAAAGAATTCTAAGCTTTCTTTTTTCAAAGAGAAGAAATATAAAACAAACAAAAACAAGCGAAGAAAGAGAGACTAATGAAATGAATGTTTACATATAAGATAATTTATTAAGTGAAATTGTACTATTTTAATGTTCAACAAAAAGTTGCAGCCAAATGCACTTAAATTTATTCGTACAAACACTAAATTGATGTGAATTTTTTGGTTCAAACATTTTTTTGATAAAAAATATAGACACTTAAATAGAAAACTAGCAAAGTTCAGACACCAAATATATAATTATCCCTTTATTTTTCTGGTTGCATTGCTAGAAGATTCAACCCGTCTTTGGTTTTGAATTATGATATATGATTCTCTCTCTTTTTAACTATTATCTTGTCAATTCTGAAACCTAATTAGAACTAGGGTTGTTTTTGCTACATCATTACTCTTCAACCATGATGTTAATTAGATGGAAGTTCATCATTATCTGTTAGATAATCTACATAATGGTATAAATGGCTGCATTTGTGCTCATATGAGTTGTTATAAGATGTGTGCTCATGTAGCAAAATAACATAGAGAGCAAACCTAAAGTTCAAGAAACTAACAAGGTATTGCTGGCCCCAGAAGCAATTCCGTTAATAACAAAAGCAATAATTGCAAATGCACAAAATGCAACTTCAAACATTCAGAAATGAACTCTTACCTCACACCAGTCAAGGCAATCAATGGCTTTAACCCTTTGTCCTTCGGCTTTTAATATCTTTTGTGCACCTCTAAGAGCTCTCCACATAACCATTGGTTCCCAACTAAGACCAGATGTTTTTTCAAGCACATTTCTAACAATAACAGGTTCACCCCTTGTCCAGTGCATTTGAAAATGCTCAATCTCATTGTTTCCCAGCCGAAGAGCATTTGGACAGTAGAGAAAGTTATCATCACTCTTCTCCCTATGTGCTGCCTTCCTCACTTCAAAATCTTTCATTCTGCAGTCAGTAGAACAGAAAGGACGGCACAAGTGGCATCCTTGGAAGAAATCAATACTGGGTGGACTATAATTAATAGTAAGTTCCTCCACGCTCTTAATCAGCTCCTCAACCATATTAGCTTCAAAGACACGTTTCAGTAAAAGCATCCCAGTACCACAACCTCCCCGTGCTTTAGGAGGGCAAGGAATCCTTTCATCACTGTCTGCTCTCCAATCAGGGAAGTCACACGATGAATCAGCCACATAGTTGTTTTCTGGATAGGAAACTTGGGTCTCCCAGCCGAATCTTTTTCTTTTTGCAGTTGTCTGGTCAACCAAATCCGGACCATTTGCTCTTTCAATAAATTGATGGAGTGAAGATTCTGCTTCATTACCTCCAGGCTGAAATCCTTTTCTAATTTCCGCACAGCAAGTGAGACAGAGATCATAAGAACACTCAGGATTGGAGCAGCTTCTATGGAAGTTGACAATCGATGTGCTGCAATTGTCACTGTTAAACAAGGATAACTTCATTGGTACAGATACCATAGGGATTATATGGATTATTGATGCAGAATTAAGTACAGTTTGTGGGAAATATTAATTGGCCAGGACAGTTGCCAGATTCCAAGTGGGAAAACCGGGTTTATGCGAGAGTGGTTAAAAATTAATATCCAATCTTCCATCACTAAAAAGGACTATTGATAAGTTAACTTTTAGCTTTAAAAACACAGAATGGAATCACATAAACCAAAAAAGAACGCCAGTGTCAGGCTAGAAAGGAATCAGGAAAGACGCTCAAAAAATAATCAATAGACCACTCCCCTAACACCCAAGCCCAAACCAAAGATGGGTCACTGATATATGACGTCAGCTCAACATCTAAGTATTTTCAAGTCAACCAACAGCTGTACTGAAAGCTTTTCTCACCTGGCTTGATCACATTTGCCAAAAAAAAAAAAAAGTGCCACTATAATTTGTAACTTAGGATATCCAGCTGCATAAATGTAATAAGCAACAAGCAGTAGCTCTGAATAGGGGTGGCCATATTACGGTTCCTGGAACCGGAACCGGTGGTTCGGAACCGGTTAGAACCGGAACCGGAACCGGTGGTTCGGAACCGGTTAGAACCGGAACCGGAACCGGTGACGAGACGGTGGTTCGGAACCGGTTTAGGAACCGGTAACGCGAACGGTGGTTCGGAACCGGTTAGAACCGGACCGGAACCCGCGTTTCGAACCAGAATCCGGGAACCGGGCAACCGGTCCGAACCAGAACCGAACCCGGATATTTTTCCGGTTCTGGTTCCGGTTTCCAGTATTGTTGAACCGCAAAACGGCACGTTCCACTAAACCTGGTCGGACGCCGCGATGCGAACCGCCGGTTCTCCGCGGCCGGTAGAACGCCCGGGTTCTAGCCGTATTGAAACCTTTTAAATTTTTTTTTTTTTAAATTTGTTGGCAACTTAACTACGTGGCTTTGATTCCTCTAAACGCCCAAGAGGATACGTAGGCAACTTAATTTTTTTTTTTTTAAAAAAAAAAAATTAGTCTCAAGCCCTTTTTTTTAAAAAAAAATTATGTTGCACACTTTTTTAAACAAAAAAATAAATTCAGTTAAAGACTTTTTTTAAAAAAAATAATTTAAGTCAAGTCTTAAAAAAAAATTAAATTTAATTGAAGCATATTTTAATTTTTTTTAGGGTGTATTTTTTTTAAGCAATAACTTTCACCAAATTTTTTAAATTTTGAAAAACGGTCTTCCAAAATTTAAAATTTAAATTATGCGATTCGCGAAAAACCGAGTCGAACCGTCAGTTTCGAAACCATTAGGAACCGGAACTTATTCGTTCCATAAAACCGGAACAGGAACCCGGAGATTTTCGGTTCTTGGTTCCCCGGAGCCGCCGCCGTTCCGGAACCGTGGCCAGTGCTCTCGGCGCAAGCGGTCTGAAGCAAGCCAAAATGACGACACAAATTTTTTAAATTTTGAAAACCGGTCTTCAAAATTTAAAATTTAAAATTATGCGATTCGCCGAAAAACCGATCGGAACCGTCAGTTTTGAAACCATTAAGGAACCGGAACTATTCGGTTCCAAACCGGAACAGGAACCGGAGATTTTCGGTTCGGTTCCCCGGAGCCGCCCGTTCCGGAACCGTGGCCATGCCTAGCTCTGAAGCAAGCCAAGAGAGTAAAATTACTATTTTGTACAGAAATTGAAAATACACACACACACACACACACATATATATATGTCACAAAAGGAAAAAAAAGAAAGCAACTGATAACAGAAGACTCAAAGACACTATTCTATCTACTTAAACTATAGCCAAGCTATTCCTCAGGAGCATTTTCAGGCCATGAATTTCTATCACAATCAGGAAACGCAAGGCACACGTAACATCAACAGATTAAAGACAAATTGATGGTTTAGGTCTCTATTTCCAATTATTATAAACAAAACAAACAAAAATATGTAAAGGACATAGCAGGAAGTTCAATTTATAAATAGCCGAAATTCCAGTTTTAGGATACGTAAGAATGAGATAGTACCAGTATAGTCGATCGTCATCATCAAGTATGGATTTCGTTACATCTTCTTCTGTCAATTGAACACCTATGCCAAAAGAATAGCACAACTGCAATTAAGCGTTATGGTAATTAATTTGATAAACTGTGCTGAATATAATACAGAATCATGTAATCCGAGCAAATCATAATACCATGAATCCTTGCCTCCAGATCCAATTCAGCGCTTTGCTCGTGCTGAATATGCCTCAGGAGAGGCAAAGTCTTGTGCAGCAAGTAAAGAAGCTTTTGCAATTTGGTATCTTTATCTGGTTCATAACTCCCAGCCTGTCAGACCATGTTCATTAGTTTGGCATCATTAAAACATACAGGCAAGGAAGCTATGGAAAGGAGAGAAAAGGAAAGAAAATAAAAACAAGCACACCGGGTACACACCATCATGACTGCATCTTCCTTGAGGCAAACCCTACAATTACAGTTGCCACGACAAAATGGACATGCAATCTCTATCTGCTCTCGTGTTTTCTCTGGATACCTAATATGTATTTGAAAAACAAATTCATATCCCAGATAAAGAGCAAAATAATATTAAACAATGGCTACTAAGCGATTTCCTTCCTTAACAAATAATGGAACATAAAACTGATTCATTTTCAGTGTTAACCTCTTCTGGACTAGATGCCAATTCTTTTACTGAGTGGACCTAATTAGAAACTTCTTGACAACAACAAAAGCTCTCCCAAAAAGCCACATTCTGATACACAAGACTTCTCACAATGCAGGCTCAGGGAGGATTAAAATGTACACAGGCTTCCCTGTGCATTGTGAGAAGGCTTTTTTGGTGATTTAAAAAGAACTAACTCCAAAGGTGATAGTTTTTTCAATAATAATTTTCATCAGCAAAAGAATCTGCAAAAAAATCTAATTACCACTTTGCAAGGCAGTCATAGCAATAGCGTTTTCTTCTGCAGTTGGAACAAATAACAACACCGTCCCTATCACTCTTCAGACACTGGTGGCACATCAAACTCTTATTTATCCTTTTCCCCTCTGTGATGTCCTAATGAATAAATTGAGTCAGAATCCACTATTATGCCTTTTTTTTCTTCTTTTAATACAATAAGAAATTTTAATAAGGGGATAGGGAAATACAAAAATGGAGGATAAAGTATCCTCCTTTCAAAGAAACAAACAGAAAGGACCATTAGAGAAACTTGGAATGCTTACAACTCACTGCAAACAACGGTTAAAAATGAGAAATCAAAAATAGCAGTGGAAAGCATACATAGAGGTCCACTTTGATTCTTTTGCTCTTCCATAATCATAGCAGCATATCACATATCTAGTGATTCCTCTGATGTTCCTCCATATTCATTTGCGAAGCTAAAGCTTTAAGTATAAGTTACTATTTATCAGCTAGCTTGGCCCCAACAAAAAAGAAGCCAGCCCATAATGGCACTACAATGAAAGATCAAGGAACGTGAATTTAGAGCCAGACACTATCACTGACTCCAGGAATGATACTTCCAAAATCAGTGTGTGAGAATCCTCTTTGATAGTAAGATTAAGCAAAATCAAAGATCAAACTTTTCCTACAAGATTCATGGGACAGCCAGATGATTTTGTAGCCAATTCTATTTGTAATGCATACATTTGTTGATCCTGTGTTGATAGTTACATTAAATGTTCACTTAACGTCTAAATATTAAGTGGTAAAGAGAATTGGCATTAACAAGTTTGTTCAGATTGCTTATAAACCTCCTGAAAAGTATTAAATGTAGAACTTACTGAAACTTCAGGTAGGTTGTTGTATTTCCTTGGCCTTCCTCTACGCCTCTTGCAAGGATTATCCATTAATTCTTCTGTTTTCTTTTCTGTTTGAAACATTGGTTGACTATGTTCTTCAGAAACAGTGCTTGACTTCTTTCTCTTGAAACCTTTTGGTCGACCTCGCTTAGCCCTTAGCTGAGATCGTGCTTCATTACCATCAGCAGTTTCAGTAGCCATCTTCCTTACTTCCTTGTCCACAACAGTACCCCTGTCTTTCTCAAAACCTGCTATACAAAAAATGCCCTGCCCATAGTTGCAGCCCTCAAGATTGCCATTCAGTCCCTCATTTTCATCACGTGAAAGATATTTCTGCTTAGTCTTTGAAACCTTTGGCCTACCTCGTTTTCTTTTTTGGTGTATAATCTTATTTCCACCCAAGCATCCAATAATTTTCTTCTTATTCTTAGAACCCTTTGGCCGGCCACGCCTATCTTTTGGCTTGATCATTTCATTTCCTTCCCCACTAACACCAGTAGAATCAACAACCCTTAATTTATCTTCCCCACCTAATAAAGCAGTCATCCCATTATCTAAACCAGTTATCTTTATGGTGTTCACACTACCATCATTACAACGGAGAATTTGAGTGGGCAATTCCAGAATATCACCTGCAGGTATTTTCTTCTTCTTCTTTGAACCCTTTGGTCGGCCACGCCTACCCTTAGGTTTTATGATTGCCCCTCCCTCAGTGCCACTGTTAATCCCACCAGGCACCAATTTATCTTCCTCAGCTGAAAGAACAGGCTTCTCATTCTCTAGATAAGCATCTCTTATGCTTTCACCAAAATCATTACTATTTGCATTTTCACCAACCAATTCCAAACAATCATTTGCAAGATCTGCCTTGTTCTTCAAACCCTTAGATAGGCCATGCTCCTTAAAATTAATAATTCTGCTTCCCTTATCAATTCCACTAGTGGCCTGACCAGACACCAAATTCTCACCAATATCATTTCTATCCACATTTTTATCAGGCAATTGATAACTATACTCTCCAAGATTTCCCTTCATGTTTGTTGAATCTTTGGGTCGGCCACGACCATTCTTCGGCCTTACAGTTCCACTTCTCTTCCCATTATCACATGTGTTGTCACCAGGCATTCCCTTATACTCTTCACCTGAAAAAACAGCCATCCTATTCTCTAAATCCAAAGGCCTGACTGAATTATAATCTACATCGTTGCTATTCATATTAGTAAAATGTAATTCCTTACTATTACCTATAAGATCGTTTTGCTTGTTCTTCAAGCCCTTCAGTAGGTCCTCAGCATTTATAGTTCCTTTCAACTGTCTACCACCACCAGTGGCCTCACCAGGCATACCCCTGATTTCTACACTAAAAAGAGTAGCCACTCCACATACTACACCTGTCAGTCTATCCGCATTACCACCACTGTTGTTGTCTGTCCGAGTATCACTAGGCAATCCTTGATTATACTCCAGAAGATTTGTATGCTTGTTCTTGGAATCTATTGGCTTAACAATTCCATTGGCCTCTCCATTATCTCCAGTGGGATCCCTAAACATTGCTCTATCTTCTTCACCTAAAGTACTAATCTGATCATTCTCCAAACCCGCAGGTCCAATCATCTTATTATAACCATCATTATCATACACATTTTCACAAGCCACACCTGGATTACCACCTGGAAGACTTTTCTTTTCCTTATTTTTTGAACCCTTTGGTCTGCCACGCCTAGACTTTAATGTGACTGTATCTTTTCCACCCTCTAAACCAGCAACCATACCAAGCATTTCTTCATCCTTCACAGCTTCAAGAGCGGTCATTTGATTCTTCAACCCTGAAGGTGTAACAGTCCCAAGATCAGCAACATTGCTGCCCCAAATTTCAACTGGCAATACTTGATTTGCTTCAGCTACAGCATTTCCTTTCTTATTCTGAGAATTCTTTGTCCAGTTCTGCTTATCCTTTTGCCGTGCCATCTCATATGTGCTTGTCCCTTCAGTTTCACCGGCCATATCTGGGTTAGTACCTGCAAGACTTTTCTTCTTATTTTTCGAACCCTTCGGTCTGCCACGCCTAGATTTTGATGCGACTGTATCTTTTCCACCCTCTAACCCAGCAACCTTACCAAGCATTTCTTCATCCTTCACAACTTCAAGGGCGGTCATTATATTCTCCAACCCTGAAGCGGTAACAATCCCAATATCAGAAACATTGCTGCCCCAAATTTCACCTGGCAATAGTTGCTTTTCGTTAGCTCCAGCATTTCCTTCCTCATTCTTTGTCCACCTCTCCTTATCCTTTCGTCGTGCCATCTCAGCTGTGCTTGTCCCTTCAGCGCATTCCTCAGCACCTAGTTTGTTATTGTTTTCTGAACCCTCGGGCCAACCACACCCATCCTGCCTGCAGGCATTCTCTGTTTCTCGTCCGCAACCATCAGTGGACTCACCAGATATTTTCTTTTCTCCCCCATCAAAAAGATCAATCTTCTCACTCACTAAACCCCCTAGAAAAACAGTCCCAACACCACCATCATTACCGATCACAAGATGGTCATACAAGCCCTGATTTTCTTCACCTTTACTATTTTTATTCTTATTTTTTGAACCCTTTGGTCGTCCTCGCTTAGGTTTGGAACTAAGCATCTCATGTCCATCAACTATACTTGAACCTTGGTCTAGTGCTTCACCTTGAATTTTCTTTTTACTCTTTGATCCTTTTGACCTATCCGGTTTACCCTTTATAAGTTTTTCCTCATCTTGAACACCATTACCCTCTTCCTTCTCATGATATTTATATTCTATTCCTTCACCACCATTGGCAAATGCAATTTCACCAAACAGGCCTTGAATTCCTTTACCATCAATACTTGCACACCCAGCTTCACCACACCAACACTGAACCCCTTCACCGCCAAAACTCAAACCCTCATTTCCACCACTGACTCCACCAAATAGACCTGAAAGCCCTCCACTCATAGCCTCATTTTCACATTCACCAAATAAGCCCTTGATGCCTTCATTCCTTGAATTACCATCTCTACCCCTGACCTCACCTAGTAAGCCTTCAATTCCTTCACCACATGGACTCACCACGCAGTTTTCACCACCGAAGCGATGGATAGCCCCACCAGAGGAACCTAAACCAGGATTAACTGCACTAACTTCACCAAATAGGGTTCCAACTCCTTGATCATTGAGACCCATGTTACCATTTTCACCAGAATCCCTACCAGACTTGCCCAACTGAATTCCATTACCACTATCTTCACCATTCCAGAATTTAAAGGCTTTACCATCAAGACCTAAAATTCCATTTCTACTACATTCTCCACCATACCCACCATGAACCGCTTCACCACCAAGAACCTGCCCACCATTGCCGCATGCAGCTTCTCCAGGCCAAAGCTGCAAGCTTTCACCACCATTAGCTTCACGAACTTCGTCAAACCACCTAAAAACATCTGAATTCCCTTCACTAAACCAGCCTTGAACCCCTTCAACATCAAGACCCACATCCCCAACTCTCCCAGGAACCATTTTTTCGGAATTTTCTTCACCTTCCTGTCTTTTTCTCTTCCTCATAGGGGGACCCACGTCGACCCTACCTCCATTTCCACTCTTCCTCTCCATGATTTCTTTCCTCCTCCTTATCAACACATAATGATACTACTCCTCACAAAGGACTTTGCCATCCAGCATTCTCACTGCATCTCCACGCTCCACACCTTCTTGTGCACATTTTGTACTTAGCACCAGCCACTGTTTATTCCATAGAGAAGAAGAAGAAACTCAAAAACCCTTTTCTTCTTTTTCTTTCTTTTATTGAAATTTAAGGGGGAAAAATCTTTTACTGAAAATTGTAGGGGGACATTGAATTGGAGGAGCAATAGTACCTAGTAAGTTATTTGCTGTCGGTTTTCTAAAATTTGGGTTGAAGGTATAAATTCAATGGTATTGCAATTTTCAAGGTTGTTAATAGTGATCAGAAACAACAGCGACGTGAAATTTTCTGATTGGTTTTTTAAGGTCTACTCAAGGGACGGGACAATTTTGCTGTTTGGCAACTAACAATAGGAGCACACTTGTGCTGGTCACTGCCATGTGCCGAGTTGGTGCTTTACATCACCATTTTTGTTTAGATTTGTTGCTTTGTTTGCCCTGTTTTTATTTATTGCCGGTTAGGTTATATACAATAATATGGTTTAAATTGCCAAATTTGGGAGCCATATACAATGTCCAAAAGATCATTTCCTTTTATAATTATCATTCTAAATTTACATAAATAAAATTCTGATTTTTTGAAAAAAAATACCTCATTTAAATCAAATATAATAGTAAATATTTTTTTAAAATTAAATAATATTATATAAATATCTAATTTCTAAAGCATGTAATTATTCAACTCAACAGTGTAAAAAAACTATAGATTTAAACAACATTAAAATTCAATTAGGAAGATTTTTGAATGAAATAAATAAGAAGAGAAATATTAGATTCATACAATACTATTTGAACTAATCAATTTCACCTTTCATGATTTAATCAAAATACATACATAAATTATTTAAATTAAAGCAACACAACTATAAATCAAAGTCATTTTCTTAAAAATTATCTATCCATAGTAATATAAAAATATAAAATTACGCACCTCATGCAACGCGCAGGTATATGAGTAATATTTTCTTATTTAAATTTATTTTGTTTGAATATTTTTTAAATAAAAGAAACGATACAATTATGCAATATTTTAATTATGATAAGATTACAGTAAAGAATTTGAAATTTCTCTACTGATACACAACCTTTTTTCACTGTTAGATTTAAAATATTAAATATAAATTATCAGATTTAAAATTAAGTAACTTATCACTTATAGAATAGGTTATGAAGTAAGCTATTTATTCTTGCGACTCGTACCTGCATCTCTGTTTGTCGGGTCCCTCCTAGTCAAGGTTGGTTTAAGGTCAATATGGACGGGGCTTGCAAGGGAAATCTAGGTAGAAGTGAGGGTGGCAGTGTGGCGAGGGATTGGCAGGGCAAATGGCTGACGGGTTTTGTGGCTCGTTTGGGTGTGTGTTCTTCGATGGTGGCTGAGCTACAAGCTTTGCTGCATGGTTTCTTAATTTTTTAAGAAAAATATTCTATTGAAAGATAATGAAACGTCTATGTATATTTAACATAGCTTTAGCTGCATAAATACATGATAATATAATAATAAGATAAATAAAAAATTATAATTATTTATTAAAATTTTAAATAATTTATTTTGAATAAATGAAGAAGATATCAGATAATTATTTATTTTAAAATTTTTTTATAATTTTGTTGGAAAGTATATTTTATATATATTATTTATTAAAATTTTAATATTTATTTTGAATTAATGAAGAATATATCTCTAGATACATATATTTCTTTCTAAAATTCTTTTATAAATTTTTGTTGTGGAAAGTATATTTTTTAAATTCATACAACTAAATTAATTTATTGTATTTTATATTTTAAAAATTCAATTTTTTTTTTTTTTTTTTTTTTTTTTTTTTTTTTGTATATAGAGGAGAGGGACACCCCGGGAAAGTAAATCAAACTACATAAAGCATCTCCAAGTTAATATATTTGCTACGTCTGGAAAATTGAAAGTTAAAAATAAAAACCTTCTCGAACGTTATTATCCGTTTAGTCTGTGAATCTGATGTGTCAAGAAGAAAAAGAGATATTATTTATCACACTCTCTATTTTCAAAATGTCTCTTAAACAGTGACTCAACTTCTTATTCTTTTTTTTCCTATGTATTTATTTTTTTTCTTATTTTTTTATTTTTCTTTATGTTTTCTCTTTTATTTGCGCTCAAACTTCTTCTTGATCTGAAACTGATTTTTTCGTGCATTGGAGAACCATTTTCTAAATCTAACATCTATAAATACACTTTCAATCATATCACCATTCACAACTTCTATTTATTAAAACATATCGACCACAATCAATAATTGTATCGGAGATGATCTTAGCTCTAATGAACCGCGCTTTGAGCATCTTGGACAATTAAGTCCCACACCTCATCAGGGGGAGCAGAAAGAACATGCCGACCACGAGGACAATCCACTGCCATATTAGTGAGACAGTCAGCAATGCGATTCCCTTCCCGATAGCAATGCCGCAAGCGAACTTGCCATTGGCGACTCAGTAGGCCATCAATCTGATCCAACAAACTGGACAAGCGAATATTGGAACGAGAACCAGAAGATATCAACTCCACTGAAACCCGCAATTAAAGTTCCACAAGCAGCTCCATGACCCCAAGATCCCAAGCAACAGTATAATTAAATTTTGAATTTAAAATCTCCTTTTATTCTAATACTAAACTAAATATCCTGATGTGTATAATCAAATCGTATATCATTTATATTCATATGCCAATGAACGTCACAGCTATATGATTTAAAATCTCTATAGTTAGTCAAGTGATGAAAAATATATCTCATGACAATTAACAAATTTGTAATATTTTAATTTTAAATGAATTATTTTCTTGCAAAATTCTGTTTATTACAACTTTATACAATATCCATATAAGAGAAGCTCTTATATATATAATACAAATATTCCATATAAGCAGAGCTCTTATATATTATATTATATTATCTATATATATATATATATATATATAATAGTATAGTATATAATATATATATATATTTATATATAATTAAAAGTTTTTAATTAATCAATCTAAAAATTTGTTAAGTTACAGTAATACTATATCTATATTAAAATTTTTAATTGATTATTTAAAATCTTCTAAATTACAAATGAATGATATTTATTTTTAATATATTTTTCTTTTCTTTATCTCTCTACGAATTAAAATCTTATAATCAATTACTACAATCAAACATTATATATATTATTTAAATTAAAAGATTTTAATTGATTGTTTAAAATCTTTTCTTTTTAAATTACAATAAAATATTATATGTATTTTTTTAAAATTTAAATTATTTAATATTTTTACTTTTTTCTCATCTCTTCTATTTAAGTCTTCTAAATTATAATCAAATATATAATTTTTTAATTAATCATATTAAAAAATTTTAAAATATCTCAAATTTGTTAATGATATTTTGAAAAATCTTATCATTCTTTATTTTCCATATATATATATATATATATATAATTCCTTTATTTTCCATATATTATATATATTATATATATATCTAATTCCATTTATTTGTGCAAATTAGCGTGAAATTGTGTAAAAAGAAAATTAAACTTTGGACAACATTATAAATGGACTCAAATTTCTAAGGCAAATTTAATTTTACTTCCCTTAATGTTTAGTTTAAATTCTGCTAATTTTTGTATTCAATTTTTATAGAAATAGAAAAAATATTTATTTATTTTATTAAGTAAAATGAAAAGTTAAATACTAAGATTAAGTTAATAAAATGTTTTACTTTTATATATTATTATATATATATATATATGTATATATATAAATATAAATTCTTTTAAACTTTATGATTTTTTGAAATTCAATTTTAAAAAGAACATTGATTTTGATTTTAAAATAAAAAATAAAAAAAACATTGATACTCCTCGGTCTCAGTTTGGTTCGGCTTGTTATTCCTTTTTTACTTTTTCCAAAATGTTTGCAAAAGGGTTTTCCTAAATTTCTACAACTGTAAACATTACATATATAAAATATAAATTTCTTTTAAAACTTATGACTTTTGAATTATTTAAAAAGAACATTGATTTTGATTTTAAAATAAAAAATAAAAAAAAACATTGATACTCCCTCGGTCTCAGTTTGTTCGCTTGTTATTCCTTTTTTACTTGTTCCAAAATGTTTGCAGGGTTTCTAAATTTCTACATGTAAACATTATTTTTTTCATGATAACATTTATTATCATTCATTGAATGAAGAACTTTTATTAATATCTTAATGAGTTAAAGGTAAAAAATATTTTTCTTGACTAAATTCTTAACATGCAAACAAAATGGGACTGAAAGAGTATTAGATTCCATTAAAACAAAGAAAGAATGTTATCCAAAACAATTTGATTGATAACTATTTCCTTCTCTAAAAAATGAGATACACTAAAATGATGAAACTGAGCAAATAATTCAGAATTTGGGGACCAAGCAGCGCTAACAAAATGAGACATAAATTTATGTTGAATCGGTTCTATATAAAAAAAATTAATTAATTATCATATATTTCAAATTAATAAAATTAATTGTTAAGGTAACTTATTTATTAAAATTATTCAAAAATTAGATTAATTTAGTTTACACTGTGGAAATGGTGGAGAAGCAAGTACACGGTCATGTGGCAAGACATTAGAGTGATGGAATTTAGAAATACAAATAGAGTTACAATGATAAAATATTAGAAATGAATAGGGGCAAAATAATAAAAGGAGAAACTAAAATACTGTGCATGTGAACAATAACCTCTAGATATATGACAAAGGGCAAAATGGAAAAAGCATTAAAAAATATTAATTTATTAGAAAGACACTTGTTGTGAATATGACAAAAGGCAAAATGAAAAAAAAAAAAAAACATGAAAAATGGTTGGTTTTATGAATAGTGTTTTTGGTTTTCAATTTAGTATATATAATTCTCATATAATATGATCTTTTGAGAAGCAAACTTATCGATAGATTGAAAAAAGAATCAAAAGAATTTTATTATTCTTTCTGTTTTATAGTAGTTTAGATTTATATAGTAACATACACATGTTAGCTTGATATTTAACATTGATTTCAATATATAGAAAGAATTTATAGACATACTAGGAAACTCTAAATATGGAATACAATAATAATAATCCAGGTTACATATTCAGGATACGAGATATGATAATATTTAAAAAAAATAAGATATTGACATGTTTAAGATACGCTGCACTAAATAAGTATAATTTATTAGTAATCCAAATAAATAAACAATCATTTATAATAAATCATAAATATAAAATAAAAAATATTAAATTTCATATTTCAACATAATTAGTTAAATTCTTAAAATTAACATGATCATTGAAAATTATAGCATCTCTAGCTTATTTAGAGATAAATTGACAATTTCAAAAATTTTAACATCTTTA